CCGGTCCGACCGTCTCGCATACATCTCACCATAGCCGGCCAGGAGACGTTGCCGAAATCCGGTGCCGCCAGCACCGGCGATAGATGACACCTTCTTTGTGTGGGCTGGCTCTGAGCACCAGGCCGCCACCGTTCACCCGGCGCTCGACGAAATTCGCCAGATGTTAGGGAATTCTACGTCGATTGGACGAAGCGGTTTCCTGTTCTTTGCTTTGGCATTGTGATGAATTTCATAGTTATGGTCTTCGGAATAAGACTGATATTGGAAAACCAGCATCATTTCTGATGCTGAATAAAATGCATCCAGCTTTTGGTGTAATTGCCGACACTGTGGCTGAGAGCATACAATCGGTTGTTTTTTCCTTTTAGTCTCCGAGGCGCGAGCATTTTTTTTTTTAAATTGTATGTTGATCCCTTTGGAATCGTGTTTGTGAATGCAGCAATGCATTACGTTTCAGTGCGTGCATGGCGATTGGCGAAAATGTTAAATCATCAAAGGATGATTCTGTTTGGATTCATGCGTCCTCAGTGAGCATTTTGGAACAAGAGCAATCTATCGTCCAAGGCGTCAATGCGTACCGATACCGAACCCACCGATGAAATGTGATAATATTGCAACTTAAAATATGTTTTGTAACCGCCAATCCTGCAGCGACTGGTCCTCCATTTTTTGTTTATTCTGTCATCTTCGTTTATTTTTATTTAAGCTTCTGTTGATAGAAGCATTCACGGTAACCTGCACTAGGATGAAGCATGCTGTGCCGCACTACACCCGTGCGCTGCGGCTCAGTCTAATCCTCATCTCGGCGCCTCGAATAGCTTTGCTCCCGGACTAGTCTGTGAATGGACCTCGTGCTTAGTTACTTCATTATTTTCATTCAACTAACCATGACTATCAGTCGTACGATCGTCCAGTCTTCCTCACTATGAAGCTGAATCATCAGTCATTACGTTCTCCGACCCGAACGGTCGTCTAGTCGCCTGTGGTCCATCTTCTTTTCGCTACGAGTGAATTTGAGCCCATTACTACCCATTGTAACTACATGTCTTCACCTAAATTGACAGAAACTTCACCACAAGCCGAGAGCTAGTTATTTGCATATTCAATAGTTTCCCTTGGTGTCTGAGGAGTGCAACTTTGTCAGAAGTTGTCCGGCAGACGTGAAACGCGGCGTGACTCTTTAGGCGTCTCGGTTACAGGCCTGTTTGGGAGTGTTAGGGACTTGCTTTTAACACAGCGGTTGCGGTAACTGATATCCACCTGTGTTAGACACTTGATCAAAATTAATTATGCCAAGGGTATAATAGACCAGCGACGCCTCTTTGAGATGAAAGCTGCCACGCGTACTCCCATGCATTGGCTAGCGCCAGTTATCTGCGAAGAGAACGCATGCTGTGCCGCATTACACCTATGCGCTGCGGCACAATCTAACTGCCAGAAGTCACGCGAACGTTGGGAGTCGGGAATGCAGCTGATCTACAGCTGATCATACAGATGTGACTGAAATTATTCGAACACGGAGCAGGAGCGTCGATTCATATATCATATTGTTGGCCATGCATCTGTTTTTTTTTTATGGATAACCACGAAAACTCTTACCGACGAATCTTATCTTAATGTGTTCCATTTCTGTGACTTCTGAAAAGACAACCTTGATGACCGCGTGGGATACCTTTGACATTATTGCGATTGATGTTACTTGGAGACTTAGCACAACTAAGAAGGTAATCTGTCACGATACCAATAAGTCTTGCAATAAGGTGAACTACAGTTAAATTGACGGCACTTTCGGGTAGTTCTGGAACTTTGAAAATTCAGATTTTATAAATATGTCTAACAATCCCGAACAGATTTTATAAAGTTCTGGAAATGTTTGTACATAGCCACTGTAGGGTGGTCCACATTTACATGGTAAAAAATAAAGTTCGCTAGATTCATCGGGCCGGGTCGGAATTCTTGTCGATACTATAGCACAAGCTTCTGTGCAAAATTTCATTAAGATCGGATGATATTTTCCCGTCCCGCAAAGCGGTCAAAGTTTCCGTTATGCGTACCAGCCTTTAGTATAGGGCGAATATTTGTCTTTCAACATTGCCCAGTCCCGCCAGCGGCTTTCTAACAAAGAGGTTGCCTGCTCAACGCACCAACCCTCTCTAGCCTTCTCAGTGATAGATCTAGTCTTCCTATCAGCCACAGGCAGGAACGATAATCCACAGTTCCTGTTGCAGTTCCTGTTCTCAGTGCCAGGAAGAAAGCCCTATATGCCAGGAGGTGCGATATGCATTACCTACGCTAGTTACGGTTTTGCCTGCGTCTGGGACGGCCGCTGAAGCTGCAAGAGGCACACGCTCAATCACTGAAATGTGGCTTGTTTTGGCAGCCAGAAGCAAATCCTTGCTGGATGAAACAGCCTCTTACGAAATGCATGATGCATCCTTTCACTTTTCACACCATCCGTCTTCCGGCCCCGGACTCCCGAGATCCCAGCGTTCAAGCGGTTTGTAAAGTCAGGTAGCAGCTCACGGATCGAGTGCCGTTCAAACCGCTCAATGACTTGATCGACTTCGCCAAGATGATCGTCACCTGACGCGCGTTGCTGAAGAAGCAGCGGCCCCGTGATGACTACCGCAATGCCGGTGCAGTTCACCACTGCCGTGATGGACGGTGACTTGGAAGCGAGCACCCTGAAACCGGTTGCCCTACAAAGTGCTCGTTGGATGGCAAAGGTGATTAACGCTTAAGATCTCTCAAGTCAAGAACACTCTCAAGAACACTCTTCTGTCAGCTCGCGCTCACCGAGCACGAGAAGAGGACGAAGGTCCGGTTCACCACCTTCATCGTCACAAGGTAAGTAGCACCGTGGCTGTCTGCCCACTGATCGACCTCAGCATCGTGAACTGACATCGCCCTCCGCAAAGGCTCCCACCGCTTACCACACAGATATCGGACGGTAACCGGGCAAGGTGATGGGCAAGGCCATCGGTCTCTCCTTCTTCAACGACGGGACGACGGTCGAAGAAAAGAGGCGATCGCCACCTCCATGCAGCAGCGGCTGAGAGAGAAGAACCCTGCCGGGCCGACGTCGCCCTCGACGCAGTGGGGCAGCGCTCGCTGGCGTCGTTTTTATCTGTCGGTCTCGGTATGTACCACCCTCTGGGCCAGCCACGATTTCCTCAATGTCGACCCGGACCAGTGGTCAGACAATGACGACTTGGCCACCGCTCATCGGCGACCGGCACATATGCGGGTGTTGAACGACTTTGCGAGAGCTGGGTATTGCACTGTTGCCCTCATCAGCGGGAAATTTTTAGTGCCATCGTGCACGGCAAGGAATAGTGAAAGCACTTTCGTCAGGTCGAGGAGCGCCACTGCACCGGACGTTGCATCCGAGAGGGATATTGGTACATGATGGCACGCACGGTAGATTTTTTTATCTATACCAGATATGCTATTTTCACGGATGCCTATTCTACTCTGATGTGTTTCTCCTCTTTGCTGTTCTTTTTTTTAGTGACTGCCAGTGCGTATTGAGCAAAAAATGTGAACTGAGTGGTAGAATTCGTATTATCGGTCACCCCGTTATTGTAAACATAGGGAAAACTTTGGTCGCTTTGCGGGACGGGATAAATTTATCCGATCGGAATAAAATTTTGCACACAACCTTTTATCATGGTATCGACAAGATTTCCGACCCGGCCCGACAGATCCTAGAAACTTTTGCAAAATGGACTACCCTAATAGCCAGGCTGCTTCAATTGAAGGTTCAAGGAGGCAGGCTTTCCATGCCGAGGATTGTGGCGGCTTAGACAATAGACATACTTAAGTTTCGCAGTACCATGACGTCTCGGGCACTTTTTCCATCACAAAACACCATTGAAAGCCCTTTTATTTTTAGTGACATTTATACTGCAGAAATATCAAGTGGTGGCAGAGCCAATATTCGCTGCAGCTCGCCGGTAAGCCACCCGATCACGAAGTGCGATGTCCAGTCAGCATAGTTGTCGGCATGTGGCCTGGAACACTGCCTGATGGTCTGATCCACTTCAGCAGAAACTGGGCATCGTCAGGGAGAGAAAGGACGAGGGAATGGAGGCACAACGCTGGTAGTGTTCAGTGTCTGCAGCTCAGTTATTATGACGAGAGAGATAGAAAGGGAAGAGAAGCCTGGCCGTAAAATTAAAAGCTCATTATTTTGTATTCGATGGGAAGAAGCCATCATACTCCGACATACTAGGAGCATGTTTCGCTGCTGAGAAGGTACCGCTCATTTTCCACGAACCGCGATAGGAATGGCCCTAACTTTTATTTTCAAGCGATCTTCGCCGCTAAGCGTTCCTGCAGCCTGGATCTTGGTCCGGGTAGAAGAAACACGAGTTGATTAGAATGTCAGCGCGCAACGACTGACATTCTAAATGACTTCTTGCATAACAAGGCGAATGCTCTCATCGGACTCTATTACAAAACATGTCCGCTGCTATTCTGTTCAATTATTGTCAGCAGAGTATTGAGACGTTCTGTGAGAACTCACAATTGAACTTCTATTGTAGTGCGGCAATTCGTTGAATGTTATGCGAATACACTGAAGAGATAATCTAAAAAGTTGCGGTCTGGCCATTTAGCCAAACGGACGGTTTCCTGTCGGTCCTTACCATTTATATCGCCATTTATACGTGGTAAATGCTGAGTTCTTGAGTAAGGAAGACCGGTTGGCCATTCCTCCATTTACTGTCCGTTACTTAATGGTAAAATTTGAATGTCCCTGGTGTTATCTATGCCTTTGTTTTTGACAAACTGACTGTTATACCGGGATGTTCATTGGGTGTTTTTTGCACTGTTTGTCGGAAAACACCACTTTGAGCAGTTATTTATGGTTCGTCCCAAAGTGTTCATACACACCACGCATCATGATCATTATGTAACGATTCACAAGCACGCCAAAATGTTCCAATGTACGCAAGTCTACACATTCACTTTCGTACACATACACGCACAAGCACATGCACACACCCTTTATTTATTAGCACAAAAGTAAGGTGTTAAATCCACCTGATTTAATCCTACCATCATCTTTTTACAGAACATAAATATTTTTGCCTCAATAAGTTATTTGACTGTGTTCCTGATATTATGCTGTTCTGCCGCTTGCTATTGCACAAATGTCTTGCCCAATCAGAACCGACAAGGAGGTTGGCAGGGCTGAGGGGATGTTGTTATAACAGTGTCATACTGAACACTGATAATCTCAATTGGGGCCCCATAGCAGTAACACATAAAGAGCCCTCCTGTCTTAGAGAGCAGTTTCATGATAATGTAAACACACACCATACTTTAGGCAGCTCTACATTAAATATGTAGCAAAACAAATTTAAATTCTTAACACTTTTAAATGACTTTTTGCAAAGGCGTGCACTTGTAAACAAAACAGGGAAAATGAATGGCAGCATGACACCCAAAACCTCTCATCACCACCAGTCTTACCCATCACTTCACGGAAGTTTTCAGCTTGCAGCGCATATAGTTATTCCGCTACCCGTTCGCTTCCCGGCTAAACTCTATGCGATTACCTAGGTAACATTATTGATATGTATGTATATCGTGCCCTTGCTCTTCTCCTTGCCGGCTTGAGCCCCGTCATCTCCGCCATGTCTTCTCCCATCACTTCAGCGGAAGTGCAATGGCGTTGGTCTTCTCGCAGATTGTCTATCAGTGTTCAAAACACAGTGTTCACTGTTCAGCCTCAACTCCACACGCACCGTTCTGCTCTGCAGTACCGGTTCCGAACTGCACACAACTCCCCATAGGCTGTTCCGACGCACCCATCCACAACAGCACTTCAAGTCACCGATGAAACATGGTGGTCAACACTCAACCACTGCAAACGCCGTCATCACATCACCGACTGGCGCACTCTGCAACTGAACAGGATTGTCCCGGCTCCAGGCGTTGACTTTCGCGGCTTATCACACAGCGGATGTTCTCTAGCGCTTGCTGACGGTTGCTCACGTTCACTGATGCTGTCGACGGCTGTTGACGCTCATTGGATGATTGCGTGGGTGGTGAGAAGTAAGAACAACACTCCCGTGGTGCTGTGTGACATTCTCGATGCTGCTCCTTTTACTGCAGAGGAAGGCGGGAAACGTTTATAGATTTTACTGACCGTTATTCTACCTACAGGTCCACCACAGTCCATGAACCAATGGGTACTGAGCCGCTAAAACACTAAACAAAACCATTAACAACTTATCACCGAACCAAGAACAATGTTTGCTCAGCATGATGAAGAACGCGCATTTCAAAATAATTGATGGATAGTTGTTACGCTGTTTTTTATTTTAGGCAATAGACACAAAGCCCTTGATGAGTCTAAAATCGTCCATTTTATTTTTGGAATGGATGATCTTTCTCTGCTTACCGAGAAACGACGCCTGCCGCTGCTGGACGAGGTTGTCTCTGATCTGGCCATAACTGGCAATCACATCCGTTGTTGAACTGGCATAATTGAACGCCTTGATGTAGGCGACACACTTGAGTTGAATCTGACCTGACCTGGAGAAAGTGAAGTGGTTGCTGAATTCGAATGCAGTTCACGCTCTATGACAACTAAGCTGGTTCGTCCCAGTTGAAGAGCAAAGTCAAACTAATTTCGGGTCAGTACAAGCAAAAGAAGTGTTTTCCGGCAGTGAACGGCCAGACAAAACAATGGCAAGGTAATTTCTTGTGAGAACGCAGGCGAGGCCTGCAGAGGGGCGGTGAGACGTCTTGTGCCCACCTGAAGGCGTGCGGTCGCAGCGGTACATGGAGTCCCAGTATCGAGGTCTCCAGCCCGTCAGGGTGCATGACAATACCGTACGGCACCAGGTGCTCCTCGCCAACCTGCAGACAGGAAAATACAGGCAGAGTGACAAACGGATATAGACGGACAGACAGAAAGACAGACAGACACACTGACAAACAGACAGACAGACAGACAGACAGACAGACAGACAGACAGACAGACAGACAGACAGACAGACATGTCAGAGATAAAGAGAAGAGACAGACTCTCATCTGTGTTTAATGCCATTAAATTGTTTCGCTTCTCGGATCAAACAGAAGTCATTCGTAATCAAAGTGTGCAAGCAGCTACGTTTCACATTCCTTTCATTTTTTGTCTCAATTTGCAGGCGTATTTCACAACCTCCTCAATTCACTTCATTACTCTTCGGTTCGTTGACAAACAGCGTCAGTGCTCACCTCGCGTTCGTTGATGAACCACATGAGTTGAGCGGCTGGTTTGGATCGCTCTGACGTGCAGTTGAGAGTGATGTGACTGCCCGGAGTATACACCTCATCCTGGCCACTGATGATCGGGTCTTCTTCCGGTAATACTGAGACAGAAAGGAAACGGAAACATGTGTCATCAAATCTAGTAAGAGACAGAGAGGGAGAAAGAGAGAGAGGCGAGAGAGAAAGAGAGAGAGAGAGAGAGAGAGAGAGAGAGAGAGAGAGAGAGAGAGAGAGAGAGAGAGAGAGAGAGTGGGGAGGGAGTGAAGGAGGGAGGGAGAGGAGAGAGGGAGGGAGAGGGAGAGAGAAGAAGTGATAGAGGGTGTAGAACAAAATAAGAAATGTACCTAACAATTGTCGTCACATCATGCTTGCCAGTTGCCACACCAATAGCTCACATCTATATAATCAGTCACATGTAGCAAAGTCATCTCTCCCTCATACCGTGTGTTTGATCGCGATTCCATGCCCTTTACCTGTCTCCCCTGGGCCTCTATTCTGGACACGGTTTGGTTGATTTTGGACCGCTAGTGCTGGAGGTGGGCGCGTTCAGTTTACACCAGACGCGCCGCGCACCGCGTACCGCCCGGTCGAGCCGCTAAGTGGCTCGTCTCGAGTGTTGTGAAGATGAGCCGGCCCCGAGACACCATCCGACTTCTAAAGGCTAGCCCGGCCGCGGCGAGCGGGAGGGATGCCGGTGGTGGTAAAGGATAAGAACGGAGCTCGCACGTAATCGGTGCTGACGGCGACCTTCAATGCTAAGAAAGCATCCATTTGATGACGCGTATGGTAGGAATATTCTGTTTACCAGGATGTTTTGTTGCTGCAATTTTTGTGCAACTCATAACAGCATGCACCCGAATTGTGTGGCATATAATCTACCGAATAAAATGTCTCGAGTGCAAGCAGAGCTGAATGCTGAGAAGTTCCAGCGAACTCACCGATGACTACCATGGTGCCCTTGCTGTTGACGGTGTCAAAGTTGGGAGCCTCGGCCGACACCTCACACCGGTACCGGCCCGTGCTGGACATATCCAGTCGCAGAAGTGTCACCCGAGTTTCGTCTGACCGGCTCGTCTGTGGATAGACGACAGCGACAGTGACAGTCAGGTGACAGACAGAAGTGTTATCCAAGTGTGACAGAAGACAGACAGAAGTGTTACAGAAGTGTGACCGGCTCGTCTGTGGAGAGAGAGCACAACGACAGTGAGGCCTTGTGGGCTGTGACTGACAGCCAAGGCTTGTGGGCAGTGACAGTGAGGCTGCGGCCGTCATCCACCACCATTACTTCTATTGAGATTGAATAAACACAACGCTTGGCTCGTAGATATGTCCAAATAGCTTCCAGCCAATAACAAAAAAAAAACGTGAAGCATTTCTGGTCAGCGTGTAAAATTTCATTCATATCTTACATCTACATCGATGCCGGGCATGTCAGGGTAGACGAGCTTGGCCGGGTTGTTTTTGGGCATGTATCTGTAGAACTCGACGTCATCCTTGTACCACTTGACCGAGTAGAGGCTGTCACCCTCGAGATCATAGTCGCACAGCAGCGTGGTCTCCTCACCGACCTGCTTGTAGACGGGGATGTTGGAGTTCACCATGCGCAGTGGCTCGCCGGCTGGAACACACAGATACGCCAGTGAAGGCCTGGCCACACGATGCGGGTAACACAGACACACAAGGGTCTGGTTATCGCTGAGGATGAAATTTCAGACATGCAAGACGGATCTGGTCCTACTTGCGTACATACAGACACATACGATCCTGTAGCTCATACACATACACATACACATACACATACACACACACACACAAATACACTTACACATACACATACAGTTACACATACCTATCCCTCATACACAGATGAGACAAGTTTGGGCGGTGCGCACGAACAGACTCCATGCAACAGTACCTTACCCACTGCCTAAAATCACACTGTCCTCACGACATCCTTCCACCCTAAGGTTAGTCATATTTTTGGCTAAAAGGTATTTACTACTCTCTGTCAAACGCCACATTCACCACACACATTAATTTGTAGAACTCCTCCTCCAGCCCGGCGATCATTGTGCGTCGACAAAGCGGGGTCCTCCCCACCTCCCCTCTCCCGCGAGGCCCACCGGAGCCCCGGAGACACATAGCCGCTATATGCAACAGATTTACGACTGTCGCGCCGCAAACGCCGCCATTCACAGCCCGTGGCGACAAATGGGCGACGCGGAACAGGCGCCACCGGGGTAAAAGGCAGGAGCAAAGGGGACGAATGTCGCGGACCGTGGTGTCGTGATAAGACTGAGGTTAGGATTATAGGAATTAGGAATGAGCGTGAGGTCAAGTGCCTCACACGGTCTTCTAGGCATGGCTTTTGCCCTGTTTTGTCTCTTGCACTTTGAAAATATTAAGAGCCGTCCAATTTCATCGAATTCATTTATGTTTTGAAGGTTTCAAACTTTGGTTAATCCCAATTTCAACGTTCACCTTTCTCGGACATTGCACATCTGCTGGAATATTCGATATGCACTGCCATGCGATCATCGCTGCAGTTATAATGTGCCCGTAATGTGAGTAAGCCCCGGGGGCCCGTTGTGCGCTCAGTGCAGCGGGGGCGGGGGCGTTTACAAAGGCCGAGCACGTGTGCTGCACAAGTGGTAAGCCGATTACCGCGCCGCCCTGGGACGCGGATACCACCGTAAGCATATCGAATCCCACCTCGTCGGCACACCCCGGAACGCCTGTTGCGCCTCGCTCATACTGATCTTAGGGTGTAGTGAGGTTATGTGCTGCTGACCTATGTGCATGCCAGCCCATTATATGCAACTTATAACTGTCATGTACCAGCTGCAATATTTATTTTGAATACTACAGTTTGGATGAGGTTTAGCCACTTGTAGGTGAAATGAATGTTTCTCGCTTTGACTTTTTTGTTGATGCTAAGAGGATTTTCATTCGCTGTTACTAAACGTTAACGTAACTCTGTCATTGTGCTGCTTCAACCAAAGATCGCTGAGCCGCATTCATTAGCTCCCAGCCTAGAATAGATTCAAAGTTAGCTGTGAACTGCACAGTCATACGTCTGCTGTGATAACTGTCCTGTCCTGACGCGGTGTCCAGCCACTGTGAGACCGGTAAGGTCAGACGTCGGGAGGGTTACGCCGTACGCGACGGGGCGCCGGAGGGGTGTCACGGGGCATCACTGGGTGTCACGGGGTGTCACGGGGTGTCACGTCACAGTGCAGCGCCCTGTGCCGCTGCACTGTCCCCCAGAGGCCGGCGGTGTCCCATTCCGCTGATTGGCCACAGGGTTTAATCGATGTCTGTCCGGCAGCTCGTAGCCCCTGTATGACAGGCCCCTGGATGCAGGGTACAGACGGGGTCGGCAGGGACCTCGCCGGGTTGACCGGGTTATCTAGATAAACAGGACATGCTGGCGAGTCAAAGGAATTTCGAAGTGTTTCTGTGTCGAAGTGTGATTATGCCTTGTGGTGCCGATCAACAGCTCCCTATTCATAACATTTCTTGTCTGTTACTTATCTTACAACAGCAATTCCATTTTAGCTATGAGGACGCGCCCACACAAATATTGAAATGTAACTATTTCCACAAATGAAAACTGAGATTGAGGACAGGGTACTTGCATCTGCTTACCGTCGACAGTCGGATGGGTTGGACCCAATTATCACAGTTGTTACGTAAGAGGTCAGGTGTTGCCGCCATGCTAGGACAGCTCAGTACCACGTCCCCAGAAGGATGGTCCAGTACCTAGTTCTTGTTCCCATTATGATTGTTCAGTACTCTGTCGCTGCCAGTGGGTTGGTCCGGTGCCTGCAGTGGGAGGTCCCAGTACCCCGTCACTGTGCAGTGGGACGGTTCATTACCCACCAGTGGGATGGTCCGGCACCTCCAGCAGGGCGCGGCCGGCTATATGAGCGCGGCCGCCAGTCATCACCGGCCGCCGTAAACGTCACTGCCGTCCGCACGCCTCAAAGGCTGGCTTATTATGCCCGCGGCCAATCGATGCCTCTGATCCCGCGCTGCGATAGCCATCAATTGCATGTCGAACGCGACGAGCGGTGATGGACCCGACGCCACCGACGGGCCGGGACAGTGAAATCGGACGGCGGCGCCCCGGCCCGGCCGACCGCCACGCCCTCCGCACATTACGCTCAATTACAGACGAACTCGGCCAAATACCAAACGGCTGGCGATCATTTCGGCCGCTAGTAAAAGGCACGCTTATTTCGTGGCGATGGCCATTAGAGCCAATAACGAAGGCAGTGTGTTAGGCCAGTTTGCAGGCGAGCACCAGAAACGAGCAAAATCTTAGACAAATGGAGTCATGCATTGGACAGGCGTTAAAATAAAGCCATTGTGCTCATTACCTTTTATTATGCAGGGACTGCTAACTGGCTGGCTCCGTAAAATCGCTGGCCAGCTTCTTTTAAGCGTCTCAATTTGTGCAACAGTCCTACAGCGATAGTAGCAAAAAGCACAAGTTTTTTATCATTAACTGCAAAAATGCGGCTACACTTTGTTACGGATAAAGTTGCAGAAGAAACAGAGCAGGGACATTTTAATGTGCAACCGCTTGAAAGTGTGTTTCTCTGGTAGTATGCTTCGATGCAGCTTCGACGCATCTCCGGGTGTTTTCATCCTAACGTTGAAAGCCGCGCCTCCCGCGGGTGGCACCGTGGCGGCCGCTCGCCCAACTAATTCAACTGATAAGCTGCAATGTCGCTCACTGAGGAGCAGTGCATTTCATATGGATGAGCCCACCTCGGCAAGGTGACACCGACTGCCGGCGTGCCCCCGGACTCCGGCAGGCGTGCAGGGGACACAGGGACAGGTGTCATGAAACGGCGTGGGATGTGTGACGGATGTGTCATCTGACAGCTGGGGCTCTAAGAATAGGTATCTCCTTTTCGTGTCATCTGACTGCTCCTGTAGACGAACAGAAATGAGAAAACATAAGGATCGATGAAACGGAACGAAAGGTAGGTTAGAGTAGTGACGGTCTGCTTGGTGAGCTGTGTGTAACTGCTGGTACAATGCGCCGTCTTACATGCCTGGTGATCTGGCGGAGGAAACCGGCCCGAGGTGAAGGTGGGAGTCGCTCGGCAACTCTGCAAGCTGCCAAGATTGAGTCGGGCTGCAGCACTCGGGTGTCTGGACTACACGTGGGGGTCGTCGGCACTGGAGGGTCGGGAGGCCGAGGGGGTCGGTCTTGGTGTCGCGAGGTTGCACGGGACTTGGGGCGACTGGATGGTTCGCTGGGTGTCAGGCTCGGAGCAGGTGGGTTGGGCGGGGGTAGACGCCGGAGGGTTGGGCAGGGTCGTCGGCGCCAGCCTCCCTAGACAGAGGTGAGCTGTCAATCGGGCCAGAGTGAGAACCGCTGTCGACCTGCGAGGAACACAGCAAACACGGCTCGGCTGAGGCGGAACGCACGCCAGAAAACGGACCGAGCGACGGGACGACGGCACGGAACGGACCAATGGACCGACACGGACCGACGGACCAGCGGTACGGAGTGGACCAGTGATCCGACGGACCGACGGACAAATGGATCGACGGACTGCCCAGAACGAAACGACGGGCGGCTGAGGTTCAGGACAAAACAACAAATAAATCCCGGTGTGCCATCCGTCAGCCCGAAGACAAAAAACGATACTTAGCGCCTCTAATCCAATGAAAAGCCTGTATGCTAGCTCATTTGCTTCGTGTGACCATCAGGAGGCATATGAATCAGCGGCTCTCTGGCTGAGTCCTTCTTAAGGAAAGGACTTGTGATGGACAAGTTGTGGTAGACGAACACAACTTCGCTTTACAAAACAATACAATATATAGTTACAGTAGATGAGCCAATAGAGAACGTTTAAAAGGAAAGCTATAGATATTGGATGAAATTTGCACAGGTGGATCCAGGGGGCGGGAGGCATTTGGGGCCAATGCCCCCCCCCCGCAGCGCCCGAATTCGGCAAAAATGTGTGGATTTTCGGCAATAAAAACTGTAAACTGAACAACTGTGATTAGGAGAGGTTTGTTTTAAACTGCACAGCAGTGCGTAAGCAATCAAAATCCGATTAATTTTTGAAATTTGGAGATTTTTTGGGGGTATGTCCACTGCAACATCCAAGACCGCCTTTCTGGATCCTCCAGTGGAAATTTGTAATATCTTTCTCAAACTGCGCAGCTGTGACGTTTACAATTCATGAGCTCTGGCGTCTTTCATCAAAACATACGCTGTCTCTCCCTTGTTGTGAGCTGATGTACCCTGGATATCAGTCTGCTTGTTTTTCATAGGCAGACATATCCACTAAGCATAATACTGAGAAAGAAAATGGAGCTTGAACTGTTTATATAAACTGTTTATACCATGCCGTTGCATGGTGGATGTTCAGAGTTACAAACACAGAGCACATAGGGCGAAAACATGGTAATTAGGCGAATACCACGCGTCGTATCTGGGTCGTGTCAAGCCTCAGACTCTCCGCGGCGTAGTGCCGCGGCGCACCTCAAGGCCCCTCGGCTGCGGCTCGGCAGCCGGCGGCGGTCTCCCAGGGGACCCTGATCAAATGACGAGCGAGGCAAGTCGTGCCGGTCCGGACGGAGGCTCACCGG